TCAAGACTAGAGTTTTGTACCCAGCAGCAAGTGCACTTAATTTTAATAAGGGGAGTCTGTGTCTGGTACTGTTTAAGTGTAAATGTGCGAGTGGTTAGGTGTGTTCAACATGGCGAGATATATACATACAGTATATATATAGCATGCCCTTAAAATTCGCGGGGATTTGGGTCTTAAAATGACCGAGAATGTCATATTTCCCGCCTCTGCTGATGGCCACATAATATTTCAATGTGATTCTGATCTTTTAAAATGTTAGTTTTGGCATAATGTAGTATTACCGATACGTAATTTGTCTTAGTAAGCCTTATTGTAGGTAAAAATAAGTATACAGGTGCTCTTCAACTTACGAACGAGTTACGTTCCTGAGGCTTGTTTTAAGTCCAATTGTTTGAAAGTCCAATTTTACTCTTGTAGATACCAAACATATTGCAAAAAAATGAAAAGAATATGGATATTTAGTACAGCTATACCCTTTAATACAGCCTTAAAACCTGGCTCACTCTTCTCCTCTTAAGTAATGTTTGTTCTATCTGGAGTTTTCTTCAAAATAATCCAGTCTCATCCACATTAAACACCTGTTCTGGCAGGTAACCCCCCCTCAGTGATGATGTTCGTATCTCCGAAACTTTGTAAATTGAACGTTCTTAAATAGAGGAGCACCTGTATACTAAATGCATCCTTCAAAAGCGTGAAATTGCTACCGAGTTTAACAGTTAATTCATGTACTGTATAATATTTCTGATAAACTTACTACATGCTTATGTATCTTTATATAATTTAGCGAAATATCTCTCGTCAGAAACAGTCATCCCAACGGTTATGAATGAACTCATTTAGAAATACACCATTACTTCAGGACGAAATCGGACAGGTTTGCAACAGGCAATCAGCTGTAACTCTTGAGGAGAGGGCGGGGCATCTCTTCTCAGATGAGAAGAAATGCACTATATTACATTTTCCCTGTGTTTAAGTTATTGCATGTTAAAATTATTCTCCAGATATCATTCTCCCTTCCTATTGGTTACCAGGCTGGCCCTCGGGTAGGGGAGTGACTACAGGGAAACCCCCACCACCCTCAACCACAGGCCTACCTCCTCCACCCTCTCTCCCCTCCTCCACCTACCAAAAGAGAGAAAAATTAAGAGAAAAGAGTTAGAGGATATAGAAACAGTAAAAGTACAGTCCATACTTCACTTTAACGACTAATTGGTACCATGAGAACGGTCGTTAAAGTGAAAAACGTTAATGTGTTGAGTATAGTTTACATGCTAAATGGGTCAATTGGTACCAGCCCTCAGACAATTTCACCCCCTATAACCCCTATAAACCCCACAAGTTACAACCACATATTCACACACATTAATACTGCATGTAGAGTTAGTAACTTATAATAACTAACCTTTAGACAACCACTGAACTGCTTAATGAGACTGTTTGTCATCATCCGAGGCAGGGGAGTGGTGTTAGTGCCCCCCTGCCCCCACACTCTCACACCATGCTGCTTCCCCACCACCACCTGATCCTTTAGTCTCCAAGCCAGTGAAGTCTAGTGGTAAAGCATCTAACAGATCACACACAGGTAAATCTTGAACATTATCATCAACAGTGCCATCAACACGGTCACAGATAAGTGAGTAGGTTACACCACTCCTCCTGTTCACACGTTCTGATCAAAACAGTGACTATCAACTGATGCTACTGATTGCTATTGTGTTGAAATGCATCGTTACTATGTTGAGGTGTTGCATTTCATTACTGTCATTATTGTGATGAATTTATATACATATATACAGTGAACCCTCACTTTACGCGGTTAATTCAACCCACGGCGGCCCGCGTAAAGTGAGAAACGCGTAAAGTGAACAACATAACATATGGGATTAATTGAAATAGAGACCGGGCCGACCCCCCAAACTCCACTTTTTCCCGACACAATACGTACGTTTTACTAAAAATAACATCTTAACTTTATGATGGTATTCACCCACACATAATATAGAAAGGAACAGTCAATAAACTGAAGGTTAGGTTAGAAAAAAACAAGGTTGAGGTTAACACCTACGTTAGTAGAAGAGATGGGTCGGCGTACGGGAATGGAGGCTAGTTCCGAGGCAGAGGGCAGGCTACTGGCCCTCAGGTGAGTCACCATCATTGTCATCCACACTTGTCAGGGCCTCCCTGACAAATCCCTTAAAGTCATCATCACTGTCTCTACCTCTGTCACTATCACTGGCTTGGGCTGGCTGTGGTGGGTTGCGGGCGAAGAACTCTGTTATGCTTTGCTGACGGCTGGTGTTTATGTTGTCGTGATAAACCTTGAAGTAGGGCTCCATAGTCTGCAACAGCTGGGTAGTGAAGATTTCATACCTGTTTGCGTCAGGGTCGTCGGAAAGGAGGAGCTTGACTTTCTCGATACACTCGATGGCACCCCTAACATTACTATGGGATAAGCGGTGTTCTTCTTGGGATGACGCACCACCTGCCTCTTCACTGACGTCATCATCATCTACCATCTCGTCGGTAGTCACATCAGGATCCCTTATCACCTCCAGGATGTCATCGTTGGTGGTCTCGGAGAAGCCTGCAGCTGTAACACTCTGCGCAGCTTCTCTGGCAAGGTCCACTGCTACTGCAACAGTCTGAACCTCACCAGTCACAGATTGACTCTGCCTAATGGCCGGAATGCCTTGCAACACATGTCTCCATGCGTGACGAACAGTTGCTACAGACAGCTGATCCCATGCCTCCACCAAGAAGTCCACAGCTTTCTTGATGTTGAATATTCTCCAGAATTGTTTTAAAAGTACTTGTTGCTCTGCCAACTGTTGATCCTCGTCGTCTTCGCTCTTGCTATCGGTGTTGGTGTCACTCAGGTTACGCAACTCTTCCCTGGTGTTGGTGTAGTCGTTCAGGAGCTTGAATTTTTTAGTAGAGAATGCAGCTTTTACATTACAGATTAACTCTTGGTCCATGGGCTGTAATATAGACGTAGTGTTGGGAGGAAGGAAGACCACTTTTACGTTGGGGTGACGATCTAACAGTAGGGGCGAGTGTCCTGGTGCGTTGTCCAGCAGCAACAAAATCTTGAATGGCACATTCTGTTGCTCACAGAATTTCTTCACATCGGGAACGAAACAGTCATCAAACCAGGAGAGGGACAGTGTAGAGAACATCCACGCCTTACGTGCAGTCAGCCAGTGGACATTTAGCTTGGTCATGTCCATGCTCTTGTAGGCGTGCGGCTTGCGTGCTGTGTGCATCACCGATAACTTGAGCTTACAGGTACCGGAGGTATTGGTGGTAAACAGGACGGTGATGCGCTCCTTCTGCAACTTCCGGCCCCGAATCTTGCTGGCATTCTTCACAACGAAGGTCTTGGAAGGTAGCTTTTTCCAAAAAAGACCAGATTCGTCCATGTTAAACACCTGGTCGTCGGTGTACTGTCCTTCCTACATAATCTCACGTAAAAACGGAGGAAATTCCCTAGCCGCAACACGGTCAGTACTAGCTTCTTCACCACTAATGTTGATATTGGTGATCTTGATCCTCTTCTTAAACCTCTGTAACCACCCAGAGGAAGCATTAAAGGGTTTGGGCTCTGTAATTCCCATCTTTCGTGACACTACAGCATACAGTTCACGTGCGTACTCCTTAACTGAGCGCGTGTCCACCGCCATGTTCCGTCGCGCCTGACGCACCAAGTAGCTCACAAGTAATTTTTCCGTCTTGAGAAGCACCTGGTTGTGGAAATACTTGATCATAGAAGCACCTGTAGA